ACAACATTTTTGAAATTCAAATACGAGCCTGCCAAATAACAAAATAATTTAAAGCGGAAAATGATAGATTTCAAGGAGTCTCGCTCCGGAGAATAGGGTTTCCTTTCTTGCGGAGGTCAGAGGGGTGTTCTCTTGCGTGTTCAAGCTTGTCTACCCTTGTTTGAGGGTTGATTCTTGGTGCGATGGCTGAAGATTTTGTAGAGAAGTGGTCGAACCTGAAAATCACGGCAGAGGAAGATGACATTGCAGATTTGGGCGCCTCGTAGACCCTCAGGAGAACAAAATCGCATTATCGGTGGTGGGGAAGCTTCTGACGGTAAGATCGTATAATTTTGATGCTATGCAACGAACCTTGAAACAAGTTTGGCAATTGAAACGTGATGTAGTATTTCGTAAGATTGAAAATAACCTTTTTATCATTCAATTCTTTCATTGGCGTGATAAAGAGAAGGTCCTTGATGGGGCACCGCGGAACTTTGAGAACCAATTACTTTTGCTTAAGGACATTGCTGGTAACGAACAACCAGAATCAATTGAATTGAAATTTTTCCCTTTTTGGGTAAGACTATATAACCTACCCCTTGACAGTAGATCGAACGAGGATGTTCGGGTGATTGCGGATAAAATTGGGGCTGTAATTGAGGTGGAGAAGGACGAACTGGGGTGGGACAAATCTCGTAGAGTGCCTGTGATGTTAGACACGTCGAAGCCTTTGCGAAGGGTGCAAAAAATCAGAAACAAACAGGGGAATGTGACGATGATCCAATTGAAATATGAAAGGCTATCTACGTTTTGCTTTATGTGGGGTGATTGGGCACACTCAGCGTGACTGTTCTACTGTTGAAGAAGATGAGGAACTTGAAGAGAAGCAATGGGGTTTATGGCTCAGAGCCTCTCCCCGCAAAGGTCGCGCAAAATTGATTGAAGATGTGGCTGCTCTACAGCCTCCCTCGAGGAGGGAGTTGGTGTTCACTCGCAAACCAGCATCTATGATTAACAAAGATGGAGAAGGTGGGATGCAAGGAGGTAAAGGGTGTAAGGAGGGAGATGTGCCGGCTGAGCTGGCAGTGGCAGTGGTGTGTCTGGAGGGTGGAGTACAAGGTATGCAAAATAGTGAGAAGGAGGGGGTGATTGAAAGGGAAGAGGGGGGAGGGGGGTGAGGGAAATATTTCAGAGGTGAGTGTTGCAATTCCTTTATCGAAGGGGGTAGTGAACTCGGGTATGATATTTGGTGCAGGGGAGGGAGAGAAGGCGAGTAAAATAGGGGGAAAGGGTTCGAGGAAGCTCAAAAAAGGATGGCAGGAGAAGGAAAGGGGGGAGGTGAGTAAAATGGATTATGAGGGGGAGGTTTTACTTGGGAAAAGGAATAGAGAGGGTAATGATAATTTGATGGAGGTGGAGACTGTTGCTAAGAGAACTATGCTTGATGGCACTTTATATGGATGGCGAGAGGCGGAGGTAGCGGTGGAGCTACCCCGCCAAGCCCAATGAGTATTCTAAGCATTAACTGCAGAGGTCTGGGCAACACCGATGCAGTTAATAATCTCCGGAACTTAGTACGGAGAGAGGCCCCGTCTCTTGTTTTTATGATGGAGACGAAACTTAATAGTGGTGAAATGATGAAAATTCGTTCGAAATTAATTGGTTTTGATGGAATTGCTGTGGATAGCCGTGGTTGTTCGGGGGGTTTGGCTTTGTTTTGGAGAAAGGGGGTTGAGGTGGAGTTGCGGTCGATGTCGATACATCACATTGATGTTAATGTGAAGAAGGGTATTGGTGAGGTTCCTCCCTGGAGTCTATCGGGGTTCTATGGGTGGCTCGAGGTCCTGAACCGTCATTTATCTTGGGAATTGTTGGGGAGTCTTGCTAATGAGTGTGATGAGGCATGGGTTTGTATTGGAGACTTTAACGAAATTCTTCATGAATCGGAGAAGAAAGGGGGGCGTGATCGTGCGTTGTGGCAAATGGAGAATTTTCGAGATGTCATTGATAGATGTAATTTGGTTGATTTGCCTTACTCCGGCTATGAATTTACATATGATAATGGACAATGGGGTGAGGATAATGTTCAATGCCGACTTGATCGAGCTCTTGTTCTGCAAAGTTGGAGAATTATGTTCACAAATGCGAAGCTGTTACACCTTGAACGCGAATGGAGTGATCATGCTCCTTTGAAGCTCACTCTTTATGGGAATGTGGATGAGGTTAAGAGAAAGGGGAGGATTTTTCGGTTTAAGCAAGGCTGGACCGAGAATGAGGGTTGTGAAAAGGTGGTGGATAGTGCGTGGCTTGCGGGGGGTGCTGCAGTCGAGAGTAAAATAGCTTTGTGTGCTGCGGAGTTGGCGGCTTGGAGTGATAAGGAATTTGGGCATATTTTTAAAGAAATTAGAAAGAGAAGGAAGCGGCTGGGGACTCTTAACAAGGGGGGCAGATCCGAGAGTCAAGTTAAGGAGAGGAGGAAAGTTGTTAAGGAGATCACTAATCTCCTACATCAAGAAGAATTATATTGGAAGCAAAGATCGAGGGCTTTGTGGTTGGAGGTCGGGGACCGAAATTCTAGCTACTTCCACAGGAAAGCTTTTAGTCGAAAACAAAAAAATAAAATTTCTTGCTTGGTGTCTGATGATGGTATTGCGCATAGTGGGGAAAAGGAGGTGGAGCAGGTGGCTACAAATTATTTTCGGCATTTATTTACCTCGTCTAGCCCGGGTAATTTTGATGTGGCTCTTGAGGGGATTGAGAGAAGAGTCACTGATGATATGAATGGTATACTTGTTGCCCCCTATACTTCAGATGAGGTTTTCTGCGCGTTAAAACAGATGCACCCGTTGAAAGCCCCGGGGCCGAATGGTATGTGTCCACTTTTCTTTCAGACTTATTGGCATATTGTTGGTCCTGCTGTAACTAGTTTGGTGTTAGGAATTTTAAATGGTGATGATATTCCAACGTCTATTAATAAAACTTTCATTGTTCTTATTCCGAAAAAGAAAGCCCCGAACAAAATGGTTGATTTTCGGCCAATTAGTTTGTGTAATGTGGTGTATAAATTGGTCACTAAAGTTTTGGCTAATCGTTTAAAATTTTTTCTATCGCAGATTACTTCAATTAATCAGAGTGCTTTTACTCCGGGTAGATTATTTACAGATAATATTTTGGTGGCATTTGAGATGTTTCACCACATGAAACATTCTTCTAGTTTGGAGGGTTTTATGGCCCTAAAGCTTGATATGGTGAAAGCTTATGATAGAGTGGAATGGGATTTTCTGGGGGCGGTGATGACTAAGATGGGTTTTGCTGGGTGTTGGATTGATCGGGTTATACACTGTGTTTCTACGGTATCTTTTTCAGTGTTGATAAATGGAGCACCTTCAGGGGAGTTTACTCCTAGTAGGGGTATTCGGCAGGGTGATCCATTATCCCCGTATTTGTTTATTTTATGTGCGGAGGCTCTCTCGGGTTTGCTTAATAAAGCGGTGAAGGATGGTATGTTGCATGGGATTCATGTGACTCAGTCGGCTCCTTCTATCTCCCATTTATTGTTTGCGGATGATAGTATCATTTTTTCGAAGGCTAGTGAGGCGGAGGTGGATAAAATTAAGGAAATTCTGAAGACTTATGAAGGAGCATCGGGGCAAATGGTGAATCTGGGAAAGACGACTGTTTCTTTTAGCAAAGGTGTGAGTGAGGTGAGACGGGGAGAGTTGGCGGAAAGATTGGGGGTGAAGGTCGTTGATATTCATGATAAATATTTGGGCCTTCCAACAGTCATTGGGAGATCGAAGAGAGTGTTGACGAAGGATATTAGAGAAAAAGTGTGGAAAAGACTACAAGGGTGGAAGGGGGGATTTCTTTCTAAGGCGGGTCGGGAGGTGTTGATTAAGGCAGTGGCCCAATCTATTCCGACCTATGCGATGAGTGTGTTCAAATTCCCTGCTTCTTTTTGTGACGAATTGAGGTCTTTGGTAGCAAACTTTTGGTGGGGGCAAAAAAATGGGGAGAGGAAAATTCATAAGGTAGCGTGGAAGAAGATGTGTGCTCCTAAGGCTAGTGGTGGTCTCGGGTTTCGAGATTTAAAATTGTTTAACGCTGCATTGTTGGGTAAACAGGCATGGCGGCTTCTTCAACAACCCGAGAGCTTAATTGCGCAGATTTTGAGGGCAAAATATTATCCGAATGGTAGCTGTCTGGGTTCGGAAATTGGGGCTAATCCTAGATATACATGGCGTGGGATTTGGAGTGTGAAATGGGTGATACAAAGAGGCATTCGGTGGAGAGTTGGTGATGGACTGAGTATTCCGGTTTGGGGCAGCCCGTGGATTCCCGAGACTCAGTCTCGAATGGTGATTTCTCCTAGGGGATCGGCGAGGGAGGACATGAGGGTGTGTGATCTTATTCATCTCCCTACTGCTACATGGGATAGGAATATTATTGATGAATTGTTCTTGCCTTTTGAAAGGGAACGTATATTAAGAATTCCTATTAGCTGTCGTTTGCCGGAGGATATTTATTGCTGGGAACTTGAGAAAAATGGCGATTACTCGGTTCGCTCCGCTTATAGAGCTATCTTTGGGGATGTGGATGCAAGTGAGTTAACTACTGCTTCGAGTGGGTCAAATGTATGGAGTAAAATTTGGCATGCTAATACTCTCCCAAGGGTGAAAATTTTCTTTTGGCGTGTGTGTTGTGGAGCTCTTCCCACTATGGTGGGGCTTCATCGAAGAGTATCAAGTATGGATCCGTTATGTAGCATTTGTGGTTCGAATGAGGAAACTGATTTGCATTGCCTTCGGGATTGTGTAATTGCGCGATTGGTTTGGAATGAAAGTGGTATGAATGATGGGATTGAGGGTGGCTATAGGAGTTTTGGGGATTTTGCCTTAACTCGTATTGATTGTTTGCCAAAGAAGGAGCATGGGTTATTCATGACTGTTTGTTGGGCTATTTGAAATGCTAGAAATAGGTGGTTGTTCGAAGGGGAGGCTTGTGATCCTCGAAATTCAATGAATTATGATTGGAAGCTCATGTCTGAGCTGCAGCAAGAGGAAGATGCGGGTGTGGGAGTGCGAGTTTCTGCCCGTATACGTTGGAAGCCTCCTTCTGGTTCGAGGGTGAAAGTGAATGTAGATGCTGGAGTTTGGGAAGGCTTGGGGTCGAGTGTGGGGGCTGTGGTGCGCAGAGCTGATGGCAGTGCGTGTGCTGCTATGACATGGATGGTGGATGATAGGTGGGCTCCCAATATTGCTGAAGCTAAAGCACTTTTGTTTGGGTTGCAAATGCCCGTTGATCTTGGGTACAAAGATGTAGTCATGGAGAGCGATTGCCTTGGTCTGATTAATGCGGTTTCGTCACGAGAAAGAGGGAGTAGTACTTTTCACCTTATATTAGATGATGTCTATCATGTTAGTAGTTTGTTTGAGTCAATTAGGTGGAGCTTTGTTAGGAGAGAGGGTAATAGAGTGGCTCATGAGCTTGCTCATTGTATGCCTTGGGCCATAGGGAAGCAGGTTTGGTCTTCGACTTTTCCTGAGTGTATTGTTGCTTTGTTAAACTCTGATCTCCCAAGTAATGAAAGCTAAGTGCCAAGTTGGGACTTTCCATCAAAAAAAAAAAAAAAAAAATTTAAAGCGAAAAGAATTTTTATCTATTTTTTAAAAAAAGTAGGAGAACAAACGGACTCGTTATTTAACATAATAGGTTTGTTTGATGACACTAAAAAGACCCCCTAACTCAAACAACAGGTCTGTTTTTCTTCTAAACTATTAATTTCATACCTTACATAACATACCTGTTATAACTTACAATGGGTCTCTTCGTCTTCCTAAACAGACCCCCCTCAAGAACGGGTCTCTTTATCAAACAGACCCCTGAGATAGAGACCCGTTGTGAGGCGGTCTTTTAGGCATATTTCAACGGGTCTCTTTGCCAATTTTTGTAGTAGTGTAAATATGGATGACCATTATCCCATGTACCATCTAGAATACTCTAAAGTTGGGTATTTGGTCTTATCCGTTGATGGAACCCTAGGTAATGTACATGTATATATATCCCGTACTAGATGGAATATGAAATACAACGTAACAATTTTCCCTCATCTCTCTATATATTCTCTTCCATATTTAACACGTTATCAGCACCAGCTCTAGCTAAGTAAAAAAAAAAATCAAGACGAAGGGTTTGAACCCTATACGACGATTAGTTGTTAAAAATCTTGAAAGGTACGCTATTTTTATTATTCCATCAAATCATTGTAGGTTAATAAGTTTACATATAAGAATAAGAATATGTATATGTATTAGTCAAAGAGAGTAATTAATTCAATCGAAATCATATCTGACTGTTATATTCGTAGTATTATGCGCATAATGATTGTTTGATAGAGTAGGATTGTACAGGGTAGATTTAGTCTTTGTTCCCCATTAATAGTGTGTGCTAGCATAGCTTTCTTCTTCGATTATACAAGATCTCTAAGTGATTTGGTAAAATTTGTTAATTTGTGCTTTGTATAAATGATTTAAGTCTATTAATTTTTGGAATATTCTATATTATCTTTCTTTCACATATCTAATAGCCTAATACTATTGATGTATCCAATTTGCTAAGGAAAAATTGCCCGCAATAATCCGACCTTTTGCCCGTCCGCTGAAAATAACCCCACCTTTGGATTATTTTTTAATAATCCCACCTTTACCCCCCGATCTTTTTTATTGGTCCCAACCGGTTAGTTAACTTGTTATAGCAAGTTACTAGCCATGTGTCGGCACCCAATTAGTCAAAAAAATAAAATTAAAAAATAAAATAAAAAAACAATTAATTAATTTAGAAACCACCCACCACCCAAACCACCTCCCCTGCCACCAATCCGGCGCGCTGGCCTCCCCTGCCACCAATCCTGGCGCGCCGGCCTCCCCTGCCACCCCTCCCTTGAACCACAATCGAACCCCCTTCCCTGAACCACCCTCGAACCCCTCCCTCCCTCACGAACCTCCACATGAACCACCCTCGAATCCTCACGAAACCAAGCCAACCCCCAACCGGCCAACCCCATTCACGCGGCTCCGGCTTACCCTCCCCTCCCATGAACCACCAATCCTCTCCCTCACTCTTACCCCCATGAAAACCCAACCCTTAAACCCAGGCTCCGTCCGCGAAAAACCCACCAACTCCCTTAAACCCAGCTCCGACGCGCCGACTTCCCCCATCCCCAGATTCTGGTCGCGTTGCGTCTCCCCCGTCCACCGTTTCCAGCCGCGTCGTCGTCGTCGTCCACAGAGGAGGGGTTGTGTTAAATGGTTAATGTGGTTAAGGGGTTGGGTACTTGGGTTAATGGGTAATTGGGTTTAGGTTGGCTTGGCTCGGTGGGATTCCGGTCAGCTTGGTGGTTTCAGGTGTGGGTGGGATAGTGGTTCTAGGGTTTAGGTTGGGTGGTGGTGGCTGAATTGGGGTGGCTTAGGTGGCGGTGGTGGTTTTTTTTACTACTTTTTTTTTTTTTACTAATCAAGGAACGTGTAAATTCTACTTTAAAAAAAAAATACCTGCTCAATCGGTTCCAAGTAAAATGGGACCATTTATAGCGGAATGGGTATAAAGGTGGGATTATTAAAAAATAATCCAAAGGTGGGATTATTTTCAGCGGACGGGCAAAAGGTCGGATTATTCCGGGCAATTTTTCCTATTGCTAAATATTGATTAACTTATATATCTGTTTTAGTCAATATATAATTCACATTATAATTGCAAACCGTCAATTGTTGTTAGACGATTTTGTACTACTAATCGGGAAATTATTCTATACTTCACCAATATGACTAGTTTTTGTGTATAAATTGATTATGTTCATTTGTTGCCTTTTAATTATTTCTTGGTCGGTAGAACTTAGCGTACAGTATAGTCTACCCCAATTGATTAATTATACTCCGTAAACCTATATCGTTATGTGATTAATGTGCTAAGCTTATATTAAAATTGCATGCTATTTCTATATCTGAAACAAGTTAAATTTACTTCTGGATTGCATATTGATACGAAGGTTATTTGTATTCTCCATTAAAGATATATCATATATATATATATATATATATATATATATATATATATATATATATATATATATATATATATATATATATATATATATACATCCTACTTTTTCTTTCCAATTTAATATAATATGTATGCTAGTATGACTAGTGTTCTTCATGAAGTTATAATTGTGGATGTTTTTATCAAACGTTTCAATAAATCAGTGGGCAAATATGTATAAAGTGAGTACATGCTATCCCGTAGGAGTAATCCCAGAAAAGTATGATAATCAAAGAATTCTAAGATTAAGTTTTTTTTTTATCTGACAACATGATTTTTAACAAGATAAAATTTGTTTAAAATATTTGACGTAATAATCAAAAGCTAAAGTTTATGGTATAATCTAGTTCTTTAATGAAATATATCATTTGCTGTTTTAATTTTATTTATTACTCTTGAGTGAGATTGCTAATAATATACCCAGTAACCTTCTTCAAGGTTCAATACGCAGATTCTATTATAATTAATTACTTGAACTTGGTCTTAATTGAAACTTAGCGTATATATATATTATTATACAATTTTAGTTCCTAATTTATAATATTGTTTTATATATCAGTGAATCATGTCAAACCTTGCAAAACTCGAATTTGTTGCTCTTGATATTACTGGAAACAACTACCTATCTTGGGTGTTAGATGCTGAAATACATTTAAATGCAAAGGGACTTGGTGACACTATCAAAGAAAACAACACTGCAACTAGCCAAGATAAGGCTAAAGCTATGATATTCCTTCGTCATCACCTTCATGAAGGCCTTAAGATTGAGTACTTGACTGTTAAAGACCCACAAGTCCTTTGGAGTAATTTAAAGGAAAGATATGATCACCAGAAAACTGTGATATTACCAAAATCTCGTTATGATTGGTTACATTTAAGATTACAAGACTTTAAGTCTGTGAGTGAATACAACTCAGCCATGTTTAGAATTACGTCACAATTGAAATTATGTGGAGAGAAAATAACGGATGCAGAAATGTTAGAAAAAACATACTCTACTTTTCAAGCAAACAATGTTGTCCTGCATACACTATACCGTGAAAAGGGCTTTACAAAATATTCTGAATTGATATCTTGTCTTCTTATGGCTGAGCAAAATAATGAACTATTAATGAAAAATCATGAATCATGCCCAACTGGCTCTACTCCATTCCCTGAAGCGAATGCGACATCCCATAGTGGGAAAGAGCAAAAGGCTAGAGATTACGCCAGCAGTTGTGGTCGAGGCCGTGGTCGCGGCCGCGGACGTGGATATGGTCTTGGTCGAGGTGGTCATTTTAGGAACTCATACTCCCACCAGAAGTGGGACAAAAAAGATGGAAATAAGAATGAGAAGGATAAAAATGAAAATATATGCTATCGTTGTGGAGGAAAAGGCCATTGGTCTCGTGTGTGTCGTACACCAAAACATCTACTAGACCTTTATCAACTATCAATCAAACAGAAAGGAAAGAAAGTGGAAACAAATTTGGTGTATGAGGATGGCGAAGGTGATTTTGATAACGGTGATTCAACTCACCTGGAAGCGACTGATTTCTTTCCTAATCCTGAAGAAAACAATTGAATAAATTATGATCCATTGGCGAATAAACTCTATTAATTAGCTTGCATTTATTTTGTTTTTAGAATTTTATCGTAGTACTATGACTTTATGCTTTATGGGACATTTGTTTTTGGACAATTTTATGTTTTTGGGCATTTTATGTTTTCGTATATTTCATTATTATCATTTATTAATTTAAGTTATTTGATATTGTGAATCTTATATTGGTTCCTTTAATTCTATTAGAAAATGAATTCCTTTGGAGCTCAATCATCAACCAATGGTGAAGATTTATGTCTAGTTGATAGTGTTACCACTCACACCATACTTAAGAATAAGAAATATTTTTCGCAATTGATGATGAAAGAAATTAATGTGAGTACCATATCAGGTAGTACAAAAATTATAGAAGGCTCCGAAAGAGCAAATGTTTTATTGCCAAGGGGAACAAAATTGGAAATTATTGATGCATTATACTCCCCTAAGTCTCAAAGAAATTTACTAAGTTTTAAAGATATTCGAAAAAATGGATACCATATTGAGACAATTAGTGAAGGAAATAATGAGTTCCTTCAAATCACGAGTGTAAGTCAAGGCAATAAACTTATTATGGAGAAATTACCTACATTCTCCACTGGTTTGTACTATACAAAATCAATACAATTGAATCACATTGTATAGTAAACCAGAAGTTTACTAATGACTTTAAAGTTTGGCATGACCGGTTAGGCCACCCCGGTTCAATAATGATGCGAAAGATAATTGAAAATTCATGTGGACACTCATTGAAGAGCCAGCAGATTCTTCATAATAGTTTTTCATGTGCTGCTTGCTCAATAGGCAAGTTAATACTTCGGCCATCACCAGTTAAGATAAATTCCAAATCTATTACTTTCCTAGAACGTATACACGGGGATTTATGTGGACCAATTCATCCCCCGTGTGGGCCATTTA